AACAAAAACTTTAGGCATTATTAAAAGTTGCTTTCAAATGTGCTCTGTCATTGATTTCTAAGTATAACTTTTCCTCTTCTGTATAAAACATTCATTCTTAAAATTTAATCCTGTTCTCAAAGTCTTGTTGCTTTAGCATTTTAAAGCTTTAAATGAAATATTTCAAACCTATATCTTTTTATAATTTTTTTTTAATATTTTTTATTTTTTTGTGATTGCAAATATATTTGGACTTAATGCTACCCCCACACTACACGTTTCTTTTTACCTTTTATTTCCTTTTCTGTTTCCTACCAAGTTTACAAAGCTCTCTATACTCTTTCTATTCCCTTTTTTCCTCTGCTAATTAGAAATCTATAATCTCTGTTTTTCATCTTTTTTTTTTTTTTTTGGCGGGGGAGTAGAGACAGGGGTCTCTCTTTGTTTCCCAGGCTGGTCTCAAACTGCTGCCTTCAAGTGATCTTCCCACCTCAGCTTCCCAAAGTGCTGGGATTACAGTCCAGGCACAGTAGCTCACGCCTGTAATTTCCACACTTTGGGAGGCTGAGGCGAGTAGATCACTTGGGATCCAGAGTTCGAGACTAAAGTGCTGGGATTACAGATGTGATCACCACACCCGGATCTCTGTTTTTAGCCTTTACTTTAGGTATCCTTACATTTTTAACACGCACACTTGATCATACTTTTTTCCAACAAATCCTAAAGTTGGTTACTATCTTTATCCTCCTTCCAAACAAATCAGTGACCTCAATGATTCTTAACCTTTTGAATACCCACTGTCACCCTATTATGGTTGTCTAGGGCAATGGTTTTCTCTCTGTGTGGGGAAGGGCCAGCTGGTAGGGTTTTTTTCTCTTTATTCCATTGTGAACTGATAGTTTTGTAAAATACAACAAAAAATCTCAATAACGTCAAATTGCTCTAGAAGTTCTGAAACTTTTACTCTCACTTTTTCCACTCTGCTCACCACAGACTAGACAGACAGTTCCTGGACTAGCACTGGTCCAGACTACATTTTGAATAACGACGGCCTAGTTTGTTTCACCTTAAAATACATATGCTTATCAGATATTTATTTGTTAGCTTACAGTCAGAAATTAAATTCACTGATGTTTTAACCATTTGTATACCCTGTGTTTTAACCATTAATCTCTGACTGTACATACTATATCCTCCCTTTGGTATCATTTTCTATTTGCATCATTCAGCATGGGCAAATGGTCTGTGGGTAGTAAACTCTCAGTCTTTATGAATTTAAAACTATCCTTGCCAGGTGCAGTGGTTCACACCTATAATCCCTGATACTCAGAAGCTAGGGTGGGACTGGGCAATAGAGCAAGACTCTGTGAATCGATCAATAAAACCCTCTCTCACTCTTACTTTTTTCTGTTACATAGGCTAGAGTGCAATGCTGCGATCATAGCTCACTGCAGCCTCGAATTTCTGGCTCAAACAATCCTTCTACCTCAGCCTCCCAAGGAGCTTGGACTACAGGCATGTACCATGCCTGGCTAATTGTTTTTTTAATTTTTTGAAGAGATAGGATTTCATTACGTTGCCCAGGCTGGTCTCAAGTTACCCTCACTCTTGACTAAAAGTTTACTAGATACTGAATTAATACATTAATAATTAACAGCACACTGAAGACATATTTCTTCTGGCATCTACTGTTGCTGATGAGAAGTCTGTTGTCTGCCTAATTTGTAAGTAATATTTCTTTTCTTGCTGCTGGCTTTTCAAATTTCCCCTTTTAGGATTATTATTAAAGTTCTGCAGTTTCTCTAAGCTGTCTTTTCTCAGCCCCATTTGTAATAGGGAGAGCCCCACTCAGCTTCTCCTGCTCATCTAGGCCTCATTTTGCCCCAAGGGGCCCATCTTTCTGCCTACTTCTGGGCAGGGCAGTGAGAAGGCCCGAGTCTTCTGCTTCTTCCCACTTCTTTGTGTTTCTATTCCATTTCTGTTCCAGAGATGTGTATTGCCTTGTTTCTTGTTTGTTTCAGGAAGGAATATTTCTTTTACATTTCTCTGATTTCATCAATCCTTGATTTTTGTTTGGTGCTGAGGAAGGTCTCAAACAACTGTGAGGTCAGCAACTGTGAGGATCTGGCCACAAGGTTCTTGGGGATTAAATACGGTAATAGATACGAAGTTCTTACAGTTTTTGATATAGGGTAATGCTCAATTGATTTTAGCTACTAATATTATTATCATATGTGCCAGACATTGTCCTAAAAGGTGAGTTATACCAGTTGCAGGAGGAATTTCATAACACAACAGTATGAGAACAGCTAACCCTGTCAATGAGATATTACAAACAACAGCAGTATCAGTCCCACGATTCTTTCATTAAATCACAAACACTTTTACTAAGCAAACTGCATACCCCAAGAACTGTGGCAGATGCTGGGAATTCAATATTACTTACTGAAATTGGTCCTTCAAAAGCTTACAGACTAGAAAGGAAGACAGGCCTTGTTGCAAAGTGATATATTTTATGTCAAAGGTATACACAGCATGTTACTATAGGAACTCAGAAGAGGAGAGCTTCAAAATAAAGAAAGAAAAATGTCTATCAGAGTTTGAACTGAATCTTGAAGAAGTCACTTGAATAACTTCCATTTTGTTAAATCCAATGGGCAATTTTTGGTCCTCCTATTTGATCACTCTCTCCTCTTAAAAAACAAGCCAAGAGGCCGGGTGCGGTGGCTCACGCCTGTACTCCCAGCACTTTGGGAGGCCATGGCAGGCAGATCACCTGAGGTCAGGAGTTTGAGACCAGCCTGAACAACATGGAGAAACCCCATCTCTACTAAAAATACAAAATTAGCCAGGCGTGGTGGTGCATGCCTGTAATCCCAGCTGCTCAGGAGGCTGAAACAGGAGAATCACTTGAAGCCAGGAGGCGAAGGTTGTGGTGAGCCAAGATGGCACCACCGCACAGCCTGGGCAACAAGAGCGAGACTTTGTCTCAAAAAAAAAAAAAGCAAAAAGAGAAATAACAACAACAAGAACAAAAGGCTTTTTTTCTTTGGACTCTGAGATTCTACACAAAACTTTGCTCTCTTTTCCTTGGACCACTTCTTCTCAGTCATCTTTTCTGATGCCCCCTTGTCTATGTGGCCTTTAGAAGCTGGAGGTCTTCAAGGCATGAGCCCCCTTTCTTCCTACAGTACTGCCTGCTCCTAGTCTATCTTATCCCCACTCATGACTTCAATGACTGTTTGTCATTGGCCCCAGATTTATATTTCTAACCCAGTTCTCTCCTCTAAACTTCAGACTCATATATCCAAATGCCTACTTCCATCTACATATGGATGTCTCAAAGGCATCTCAAACTCTATAGGATCAAATCGCAACTCACAATCTGCCTCTACCAAATCTGGTTTTCCAGTATCTCTTAGTCTTCTCAGTGCCTGGCACCTTTATCCATCCAATTACTTCATCTAAGCCAGAAACCCAAAAGTCATCCATAACACCTCCTTTTTCTTATACCTTAAATTCAAACCATCAGCAAGTCCTAATGATTTTACCTACTAAAACTTTCTTAAATCTATCATCTATCTTACTGTCATCCTGTTTCAAAGTACCACATCTCTTATCTCATATACTGTAAGATCCTCCTTACTGACCTCCCACAGATACTCTTGCCTCTTCTACAATCAGTCTCTACTGCAGCCAGAATCAAATTATTGAAATGCAAATCTGATTAGATCACTGCCTTGCTAAAAATCCTTTGACACAGCCCCCTGTTCTTAGGGTAAAATCCTTTAAAAGTCCTGTGTGCTGTGGTCCCTGCCTAGCTCCCCAACCTCATCAGGTATCACTCCCCTTTCATCACTCTGACCTTCCTTTAGTCCCTAAAACTCATGATATTCCCTTCCACTTCATGGTCTTCCAACATGTTAACCTCCTCTGCCTGAAATGTTTTCTCTATTCAGCCCCTATCTCCTTTACACAGCTCACTTCTGTTCATCATCTGGAGTGTAGCTTTAAAAGTCAAGTCCCCAAGAAGACGTTTCTTGAGCCCTTAGAATAGGTTAAGTCCTCATGACATGTTTATATAGAATTTACCGCCATTTGTGTTTACGTGTTTATCTGCTAGATTACTATATCCATGTTTGCCTCTTCCATACGCCCCACAACAGCAGAAAAACATCCATTTGCTCACCACTGTGTTCTCAGCACTTGGAGTATTGTACAGTGGCTGAAATACAACAGGCGCTCAATAAAGTGTTGTTGAATAAATGAAGTCCTCTAAGCAACAGCATTTCAGATAACCAAGAGCTATGAAGCAACATGATCACTAAGAGCAAATAATGCACAGGGCTAATAGGTAGAACACCATACTAGCATACAAAAAGCATACGTTATAGAGGCAGGCAACCTGATATCTCAGTTTAGATACCTTCTAGATGTATGAACCTATGAAGGCCATCACTAACAACCTTTTTCATTATCTATAAAATGGAAAGGACAAAACACACCGCATTAGTTTGTGGCTAGTATTAAGTGGGAAAAGGACACGAATCACCTGGCACAGTAACATAGATAGTAGGTACTCAGTAAATATGAATTTGCTTCCCTTTCCTTTCTCTAATAACCTTTAGATGTAGAGATAATGCTGACCATAAAACAACCTGATTCATAGTTTCTTAAATGTATTGAAAGTTATAAAAGATATCTGAAACATTTAATAAAACTGTATAGCAGTTAATCAAAAATCGCCATCCTTTCTTAACCCCCAAAGAATTATGTAGAGTAAGAGAAAACAGTTAGTTCCAGATTTCCTTTAGAAAAATTAATATAATCTGGATTTAGAAAAGATAGACTGGATGGTTATGTGCCTTACAGAATGAGTTTTCACATTAAAAAACATTCACCTTAAGCCACACTAAACAACAGACTTAAAGCATGATTCTATCCACACAGAGCTTTTCAGGATTATATCTACCTGTACACCTCAAGACACACCTGCACTAAACAGAACTCATAACTCTTACCTTATGTTCAAATGGAGCACCATAGTAGCCGTCATTCAGCCCAAAAATTATTTCATTTTGGTTTCGGGCATGAATCTAAGGGAGGAGGAAAATACAGTATTTGTTATTTTTATTCCAATCATGTTTTAATATGACTAGAGAATGACAGTTAAAACAAGATCTACTTCAATACTGAGAAACAGGCTAACTACTTCTAAACATACAAGCAGAAAACCAATCACTATTCAAAAGACGAGGTGATCAATTCTGCATTTCCTGCTTTAGTCAAAGGCCTTGCAAAACTATCACGTACGATCACAGGCATCACCATTCACACATTTTCCACAAACATTTCTTGAGGTTGTTGCAGAATGGCTATTGCTGAATAACAGGGCATTCACAGGCATATTATACACTCTCCGACCTCAAAGAAAACACAATGTAGTAAGTCTAATACTTTTTTTTTTGAGTCGGAGTCTTGCTCTGTTGCCCAGGCTAGAGTACAGTGCCATGATCTTGGCTCACTACAACTTCTGCCTCCCAGGTTCAAGTGATTCTCCTGCCTCAGACTCCCAAGTAGCTGGGACTACAAGCGCACGCCACCATGCCTGGCTAATTTTTTGTATTTTTAGTAGAGACAGTGTTTCACTGTGTTAGCCAGGATGGTCTTGATTTTCTGACTTCGTGATCTGCCCGCCTTGGCCTCCCAAAGTGCTGGGATTACAGGAGTGAGCCACTGCACGCAGCCAGAAATACTTTTTTTTTTTTTTTTTTTAAAGACGGGGTTTCACCATGTTGGTCGGGCTGGTCTTGAACTCCCGACCTCAAGTGATTTGCCCGCCTTGGCCTCCAAAGTGCGTGGATTACAGGCGTGAGTCACCATGTCCGGCCAGGAATACTTTTTAAAATATGAAGCCTAGGCCTGGTGCAGTAGCTCACACCTATATTCCCAACACTTTGGGAGGCAGAGATGGGCAGATAGCTTAAGCTCAGGAGTTCAAGACCAGCCTGGGCAACATAGCAAGACCTCTTCTCTACAAATAATAATAACAATAAAAAATATTAACTGGGCGTGATGGTGTACACCTGCGGTCACAGCTACTCAGGAGGCTGCAGTGGGAGCAGCCTGAGCAGTCAAGGCTTCAGTGATCCATGATTGTGCCATTGCACTCCAGCATGGGCAAGGGAGCACAAACCCATCTTAAAAAGAAGAAAAAAAATGAAGCCCTAGAACAAACATAAAAGATTAATATATTCTATTTTCAAAAAGACAATTTTTTAAAAGGCACCCCTAAAGTCTTAAATGTTTACCTAATTATTGTCTGCAAACTGCTTTCTTTCAGATGAGGTGAGCCTCAGTCAGTGCATCAAAAATTAAACTTTACTTAAAAGGTGGGAGGAATAAAACTAAAAATTAAGGAATTGAGGCCAGGCACGGTGGCTCACGCCTGTAATCTAAGCACTCTGGGAGACCAAGACAGAAGAATCACTTGTGGTCAGGAATTCGAGACCAGCCTGGACAACATGGTGAAACTCCATCTCCACTAAAAATATAAAAATTGGGCCAGGTGTAATGGCTTACACCTGTAATCCCAGCACTTTAGGAGGCCAAGGTCAGGAGTTCATGACCAGCCTGGCCAACATGGTGAAACTCAAAAACTATCCAGGCATGGTGATGGATGTCTGTAGTCCCAGCTACTCAGAAGGCAGAGGCAGGAGAATCACTTGAACCCAGGAGGAGGAGGGCAGTAAGCCCAGATTGTGCCACTGCCCTCCAGCCTAGGCGACCAAGCAAGACCTTGTCTCAAAAAAAAAAAAAAAAAATTAGCTGGACGTCGCAGTACACACCTGTAATTCCAGCTACTAGGAAGGCTGAATAAGGCAGAAGAATAGCTTGAACTCAGAGGGCGGAGGTTGCAGTGAGGCAAGGTTGCCCCAAGCCAACAAAACAAAGACAAAAAAAAAAAAATCCATAAAAAAAAAAAAAAAAAAAAAAAAAAATTAAGGAACTGAGATTAAAAAAAAAAAAAATTCAAAATAGCATAAAGTGCTCAACTATGAAATATATAAATAGATTTAGTTACTTCATCAGAAAGAGTTGTGGCCAAAAAAAAATTCTTCTGCTATGAATGTTTTAAGTGAAAGTTCATGTGGAGGAAAGACCAGAAGGACTACCAGAACAGAATCTCTCCTTTCTCTAACTAGAGATGGAAAACAGTCAAAGCCAGCAGCAGAAGATTCCCGTGAACATTTCCTGACTTCCATATCTACCACCCCTACCACCAAAGCAAAATTAATCACATACTCCCTGATACCTACATCATTTACTGAACTGAATACTATACCAAAAGATGAGTCTGCAATCATAAAATTATAATAAAACTGCAAATCAACTCAGGGAGTTTTTCATCTTAGAAAAGAGAAAACATTAGGAAGGCAGTCTCGAGATTAGAAGGATCCTGAAATTTTATAAACATAAAACACTTTTATACATATATACCTGGGGGAAAAAGATTAGTTATAAAGTTCTCACAGTATAAACCTCATGAAGATGGGCATTAAATTAGTTTGTTGAAAATAAGAGATAATATAGTACTAGTACTTGAAATACATGGGGCTAAAAAGTAAGTAACCTGAGTTCTAATTCCAACTTTAATTGTTTCATCAGGAGCTCTTCAGAGAAGGGAATTCTGGCTTGTTTTACAGCCCTGGTACCCCACAGTCTACCATATAATAGTTTATCAGAGTTAATGGTGTATACTTTAATTCCTTCATCAGCCAAAAACCATAAAACACTCCCTGCTCTATCATGCAGGAGTGTCATAAAAACAGAATGAGATAATAAGATGTGAAAGTATTTTTGGAAATTAGATGTAAAAAACATTGATTAAAAAATCTAATAATGTATTAGGAATCATGCAACCATAAAGCTCAGAAAGATTCTTTTGTTAAATAAACATGCTTAACAGAACAGGCTATATCATACTAGCACACTACTGTGAACATTTCAGAACTGTTAAATTATGCTAATAAGTGTGATGTGTACTATCCTTTACCAATTATAGGTTAATGACCTAACAATAATTGTGTTAGAATCCTAATATGGGACCAGGCACAGTGGCTCACACCTGTAATTCCTGCAATTTGGGAGGCTGAGGTGGGTGGAGCATCTGAGGTCATGAGTTCGAGACCAGCCTCACCAACATGGATGAAACTCCATCTCCACTAAAAATCTGAAAACTTAGCTGGGCGTGGCGGCATGTGCCTGTAATCCCAGCTACTCAGGAGGCCGAGGCAGGAGAACTGCTTGAACCCAGGAGGCAGAGGTTGCAATGAGCCAAGATTGCGCCACTGCCCTCCAGCCTGGGGAAAAAGAGCAAAAATTCTCTGTCTCAAAAAACAAAAACAAAAAAACAAATCCTAACATGGAAACCATAGAACTCAGAACTTTACTAATCCAACCACAATCTCACATTTATTTTGATTTTGATATATTTATGAGAAACAGCATACCTTGGTTTTTTTGAGATGGAGTCTCACTCTGTGGCCCAGGCTAGAGTGTAGTGGTGTAATCTCGGCTCAATGCAACCTCCGCCTCCCATGTTCAAGCGATTCTCCTGCCTCAGCCTCCTGAGTAGCTGGACAGGGTGTGTACCACCACGCCCAGCTATTTTTTGTATTTTTAGTAGAGATGGGGTTTCACCATGTTGGTCGGGCTGGTCTTAAACTCCTGACCTTGTGATCTGCCCACCTCAGCCTCCCAAAGTGCTGGGATTACAGGTGTGAGCCTCTGCGCCCGGCCAAAAAACAGCATACTTTTTAAGATAGCTGCTAGAATTAGTGAAATGAATAATAAATACAGTCTAAACAATGAAACAGCTAATAGCCTAAATCCACCAAACACTGTCTGATCTTTGGCAAATCACTCAATCTTTCTGAGCTTCTATTTTCTTACTTAAATACTGAGGAAGATAATAATACTTGTTCGTATGATCTTCAAAAAGCTCCAGGACATTGTATGTATGTAAAAAGATAGCCAAACACTCACAAAAAATTAAAAATAAAATAAAATAATAAAAATACCCAAATACTGAAGGAGTACACAGTTGCTGTTGTTATTAATCTGCTGTTATTAATACAAAGTTTTAACCACTTAAACTAAGCACAAGAATTTCTTCCAAAACACACAAGTTAGGATGCTACATAACCCATATACGCAATATACAAAAGGAATCTACCAAAAAAAAGTACTAGACTTCATTTTTGAGTTTAGCAAGGTTGTAGAATACAAGCTCAATACAGAGATACACGTTTCTACATATACTAGCAAAAAAAAAATTGAAAATAGAAATATTAAAAAAGAAATACACACCAGTTGATATCTTAAAATGAAAAAAAAAAAAAAGAAATGCCATTTAAATTAGCATAAAAATCTATAAGGTGCATCTGCTTTGGGTGAAAAAAAAGAAAAAAAAATCTATAAGTACAACTCTTAACAAAATATGTGCAAGATCTGTATGCTGAAAACTACAAAACACTGATGCATGAAACCAAAGAAAATTTTTATAAATGGAGAGATATATCATATCTGTAGACTGAAAGATTCAAAAGTACTAAGATGTCAATTCTGCCCAAATTTTCCTAGATTCAACATCTATCAAAATCCCAGGATTTTTATAAAAATTGACAAACTGATTCTAAAGTGTATATGGAAAGGCCAGAGACCTAGAATAGCCAGAAAATTTCTGAAAAAAGAACAAAGTTGGAGAATTCATTGATTGAATTCTAGACACATTGTAAAACTACAGTAATCAAGACAATTTGGTATTGGCATTAGGTCAGAAATACAGATCTATTGAACAGAACAGAGAGTCCAGACTCAGAACCACACTAATGATTCTCAACTACTGATTTTCAACAAAGATGACAAGATAGTTCAATGGAGAAATAATAGCCTTTGCAACAAAGAGTATAGGAACAATCGTTCATCCATCTGCAAAACAATGAACCTTCCGCTTTATACAGAAGATTCAAAATGGGCGGAGCACAGTGGCTCAAGCCTATAATCCTAACACTTTGTGAGGCTGAGGCAGGTGGATCACCTGAGGTCAGGAGTTCAAGACCAACATGGTGAAACCCTGTCTCTACTAAAAAGTACAAAAATTAGCTGGGTGTGGTGGTGTACACCTATAATCCCGGCTACTGGGGAGGCTGAGGCAGGAGAACTGCTTGAACCTGGGGGACAGAGGTTGCAGTGAGCCAAGATCACGCCGCTGTACTCCAGCCTGGGTGAAAGAGTAAACTCTGCCTCAAGAAAAAAAAAAAAAAGAAAGAAAATTCAAAATGGATCATTGATGTAAATGTAAAACCTAAAACTAGAAGAAAGCTTACAAAAGAAAATAAAGGAAAAAGTCTTTGTGATCTTGAGTTAGGCAAAGATAAGACACAAAAAGCATGAAACACAATAGCAAAAACTGACAGTGGACTTTACCAACATTAAAAAATGAAAAGACAAGCCACAATCTGGCAGAAGGTATTTGGAAAACACATATCTTATAAAGAACTGATTTATATCCAGAATACATAAAGAACTTTTACAACTCAATAATTCAAGCAACTCAATTAAAAATGAGCAAAAGATCTGAACAAACACTTTACACAGAGAGACAGACTGGGGGAGAGAGAGAGAGAGAGAGAGAGAGAGAGAGAGACTGATCTCAAATAGACTTTTTTCTTACAAGGCTCAATTTAATTTTGTCATGAGGAAAATTCAAATTAAAACTACAATGAAATACCACCTCAAACCCATTAGAATGGTTAAAATTACAAAGACTGAAAATAACAAGTGTTAGCAAAGATGTGAAACAAAAGAACTATTATATATTGCTGATGGGAATGCAGGATGTTATGGTCACTTTGGAAAACTGGCAGCTGCCTATAAATTTCAATATACATTTACCATTACACCCATCAATTCCATTCCTGGAGATTTACCCAAAAGAAACACAAAGACCTATATTTAAATATTCATAGTAGCTTTATTATGGCGGTGGTTGCTCAACTCTATCCATTTTTCAAATTCACTGAATTGCACACTTTTATGAGGGTGAATTTTATGACATGTAAATTGTACCACAATAAACCTAACTTTAAAAAAAAAAAAAAAAAAAAACACTTTATTCAGAAGTCAGTCGGCCCTGATTCTATCCAAGCTAGTCTAAATATCTCTTCCTTGTACCACTCTCACAACTGTCTATGAAGGTATTCATCAATCATCAGTATACCGGGTCTAAGAACCTTGTCCTATACATCTCTGGATCCTTAACACAAAGAACAATGCCTGGCAGAAAGCATACGATCTATCAATGGACCTAACTGATGCTGGCTATTGTCCTAAAACATCTTAGCCTCACATTCCTCCAAAACTATGTAACTCTATTTAATCCTATTTTTAGCAGTATGTTACTTGTTATGGCTATTTTATAGATAAGTTTTGACATTCTACAATGATCTTAAGTTCCTATCTGCTTTAAGAAACATGCTTTTTTTTCTTTTCTTTTCTTTCTCTCTCTCTTTCCTTCCTTCCCTTTTTTTTTTTTTTTTTTTTTTTTTTGTCTCTGTTACTTCAGCATAACTAACTTTACACAAAGATACCTGAACGCCAACTCTCTGAAATTGGGGCCGGTTAGATATAAGCACAGTTGGGTATGCCAACAAGATCACCACCAAAGGAATGTGTGACTTGAAAAACATGATGAAGCCCACCTTCAATGGCCAAAAAAGCCTTTCTGCCCTAGAGCCCTGCAACCACAATGTTAAGAAGCACCACCCTCCACGGAATGTAAACAGTTTCAGATAGAAGAGAAACAACTGCTTAATATCAGAGTCTATCCACAGAGAGCCAAGTATGGCATGTGGGAAGATAGACAGGGCATATACCCCAGTGCGGGGATCTGGTTGGCCAGTCTAACGGCAACAAGTATCCAGTAGCAAAAGAGAAAACAAAGGTCCCAGCCTAAACCAAAAGTCATTATTTTTTAAGTTTTAATTAAGATAATTCCTAAAACAGAGAAAAAAATAAAAAGTTTTTTTTTAATGTTTAAATTGTAGTTTAGAATGTAAAGAACATATATATTATATCATTGTTCTGGTCACTATAGGACACAAAATAAATAAAAATATGGTAAGAGCATGATCTCACTTGTCTGTGGAATCTAAAAAAGTTGAACTCATAGAAGTAGAGAGTAGAAAGGTGGTTAGCAGGAGCTGCATGGAGGGGAGGAGGATTGGGAAGATGCTGGTCAAAGGAAACAAAATTTCAGTTAAATAGTAGGAATAAGTTCAAGAGAGTACAACATGGTGACTACAGGTAAAAAATTTAAAGATAAAAAGTATGGTAAACAAAATGATCCTAGAGATTTTTAGGTTTTTGTTAGGTTTTCAGATTTTTTTTTTTTTGAGACAGTCTTACTCTGTTGCCCAGGCTGGAGTACAGTGGCGAGATCTCATTGTAACCTCTGTCTCCTGGGTTCAAGCAATTCTCCCACCTCAGTCTCTCCTGAGTAGCTGGGATTATAGGCATGTGCCACTGTGCCTGGCTAATTTTTGTATCTTTAGTAGAGGAGACAGAGTTTTGCCACGTAGGCCAGGCTGGTCTCGAACTCCTGGCCTCAAGTGATCCTTCCGCCTCAGCATCCCAAAGTGCTGGGTTTACAGGCACGAGCCACCACACTTGGCCCAGATTTTCAGATTTTTAATCTGAAAAAACGCAGAATTAAATTGTTCCTTTAATAAGAAACATCTCAGAAAGTAACATATTGAATAAACGTGAAGAAAGCATCAAGATGTTTACAAATAATCTATGACTAACATTTTATGGTTATCTTTAATAGTAGTACCATAGATATCACAAAATAGAAATGGGATTCATTCCAAAGTGGAGTGGAGGGTTACCAAGGACCATATGTATATATACCAGTGCAGTACAGCACAAAGAGAATGAATTTTTTTTTTCTTTTTTTGAGACAGAGTCTTGCTCTGTTGCCAGGCTGCAATGCAGTGGCACGATCTCAGCTCACTGCAACCTCCACCCCCAGGTTCAAGCAATTCCTAAGCAGTTGAAACTACAGGCGCGGGCCACAACACGCAGCTAATTTTTTGTATTTTAGCAGAGACAGAGTTTCACCATGTTGGCCAGGATGGTCTCAATCTCCTGACCTCGTGATTCACCCACCCTGGCCTCCCAAAGTGCTGAGATTACAGGCATGAGCCACTGAGCCTGGCCTAGAATGAGTTTTTAAATCAGCCAGACCTGAATTTAAATCTTGGCTCCAACTGTGTGATCTTAAATCATTTCTTAAAGTCTCTGAGGCTCAATTTCTCACCTGGAAAATAACGGCAATAATATCAACCTTCACAAAGTTGCTATAAACATTAATTATAATAATCTATATCTGATGATAGCAAATATGTTTCATTTCATTTGCAATTCTGACAGATTGCTAGTTTTGTCCTGTAATACTGTTAGAAAGGATTACAAAGGCCAAGTTCGGTGGCTCATGCCTGTAATCCCAGCACTTCAGCAGGCCAAGGCAGGAGGACTGCTTGAGCCTAGGAGGTCACGACCGGCCTGGGCAACATAGCAAAACCCCCAGGTGAAGCGAAAATGAGTCTTCCTGCTTTTACTTCAAGTTGTACCACCTTTCCAGACTGAACCAATGTCCTTCTTATATATATTGATTGATATCTCATGTCTCCTTAAAATATAAAACTAAGCTGTGCCCTGACCACCTTGGGCACATGTCTTCCTGGGACTGTGTCACAGGCGCATCCTATCTTGGCAAAATAAACTTTCTAAATTAACTGAGACCTGTCTCAGATTTTTAATGGGTTCATACCCATCTCTACAAAAAAAAAAAATTTTTAATTAGCTGGGCATGGTGGCACCTACCTGTAGTCCCAGCTACTTTCTGAGGCAGGAGGTATTAAGGGACTGAGGCTGAGGCAGAAAGGATCGCTTGAACCCAGGAGTTTGAGGCTACAGTGAGCTATGATTGCACCACTGCACTCCAGCCTAGGCACCAGAGCAAGGCCCTGTCTTTAAGTTTAAAAAAAAAAAAAAAAAAAAAGAAAAAAAAAGAAAGGAAGAAAGAAAATATTATGGAGCTACTTTTGAGCCCAGTTAAAAGAGAACTGTAATCAATTGGCTACATCAGTCATGGTACAACAAAGGTGGAGAACCGGTAACAGCATATAATCCAGGCATGTGTCATCCTGTGCTCAATAAATAGTAGATCTTCTTATTTCTGGAATAACCCAACCCTACTAGTCAAAAGAGAGGTATCTGACATGATATTCCTTACTTCAACTTAATTTTCAGATTCTAGGTGAGGACATCCAGTAAGACAGAAAAACCAAATGCTATGAGAAAGCACAATCTTTCCTAAACACACTCACAAATCTGTCTTCATAAATTCTTCAGATAGAGGTGTTTTTTAAACTATGCAATGATTCCAACATAACAACATAAGTAACATAAGTAAACAATAACATATATAAATGTTCACAAGGTCTCTCTTAGTAATTTAAGTAAACAATTATAAGAGTCTGTCTTTATACCAAGAAACGTAGAATCAGAAAAATCAACAGAAAGGTTAAACAGGTTAATTTGGAGATGACAACTACTTGAAACCACAATCTAAAATTTACCTGCTGACCCAAGTATTTCAGCCCATCCAAACAGACTTTCCATTCAATCAACAGCTGGTAGACGTTCTCCTTTCCACCCCATATCTTCACCAGGAAACAAGATACAGATGTATCAAGATGGTCTGGCATAATTCCAAAATCGAGACTCCGCCAGGTTGGATTCTGCTCATGAAAATGAAAACGTGCTTTAGGACAACTCTAACTTGTTTACAATTATTTCAATTAGGGGTGAATTATTTTGTTTTTCAAAACCAAAAGACCTCATAAATACATTAAATTGCAAACTTAAGTAAACCAAGAAGACATTCCAATTAACACAAAAGGAGTGATAATGGTACTTTAGAATTTTTCTGCTTATTTATTATAGTCATTAGAAGAAGTGTATATTCCCATCTCTCACTGACATGGCTTCATATGGTAATTCACTCATTTATTTAACACTTAATACATGATTAAGAGCCAACACATAAACAATGTCCTCAAAGAGGCTCCAACTTATTGTTGGATTCAAACCTCTATTTAAATAATTACATTGGTTTGTGCAAAGTTCAATAACAGAATTATGCATAAGGCAACACAGCAGCAGAGAAAGGAAAAATAAACTCTGAAGAACAGGGATGATATCACAAAGGCTGTGAAACCTGGCTTTTAACATGTAAGAGGGCTTTCACCAGATTAAAATAAGGAATTCTAGTCAAAGGGGAACACAAGATGACAAGGGCTCAGAGGTATCAAATGCCAAAGTGTGGTTACGGCACTAAGAGTGACTGCTGGAGCATACAACACAAAAGTGGCAGGACACAAAGCTGGACAGACACACAAGGCAATGAACTGAAGGATCCTTTGATGCCTTTTGCTAGGCCAGGAATACTTGACTCTGTTCAACAGTGGGGCCATTGAAATGCTTTCAAGTTGAAAATAACAAGGTCAGCTTTATGCTCTGAAAGAACATTATTTCTCATTAAGAGAATCGTCTAGATAGTTGAAACCCTCTCTGAAAAATAAAAATGTTAAAGAACTTTCATAACATCAAAGGAATGAACTACAATGTAATAATCAACTACTTTCACTTATTTCCCCTACATTGAACATGAGGGCTTTCACTGCTGAATGTAAACAAAATCAACCTGATTAAATTACCACTTTTCATATTATGTGAATCAATAAATCAAAGGGTCTTCAGATACCAGTCACTAACTGCTGTCTTGTAGCAGTTTTTTTTCCTGACCAAAGTGTGAGGTGGGAGGGGACACTGAAATCCTACCACAAATAGCATGATGATAACACAGTATGTACGTTTATGCAGTCAGTTTTATGCTGGATTGTATAAAGACTAAAGTCTAGTCATGCAAGAATTTCAGTCTAATATCAACAGAATTTTACTCTTACATGATCTCCAGTCTGTATGTCACTATAACTTAGTTTTGGCAGCCCTGCTAAATAGGGGCAGAGTTTCATTTAAATGTGAAGATAACACTAAGGTCTAGGAGTAACTATGCTGAAATGCTACAAGTTCCTCAGGCTGAAGGGAAGCAACACTGGACATAGACTTGGATCTAGGTGAAGGAATGAGAGCACTGGAAATTGTAAATATGTGGGTAAATATAAAAGACTATATGGCCCAAGGGTGAATGGAAGGGAGCCATCCATTTCTGATAATGGCAGACAAGACAATCCTTTCACTGAAAACAACTAAAATCTCAGCTAAAATGTTTTTAAATAGTAATAATAATCACCATTATCATCAAGAAGTTTTAAGCCAAGAAGAAAGAACCCAGAAGGATAAGTGGTGATCTAGAGGTCTTTATCGTGAAGCCATGACGAACCTATACAAAGCTCGGGCTTTGGTTTCTTTCCACATTCTTTCTCTAGTTTTGTTTGTTTGTTTGTTTGTTTGTTTTTCGAGACGGAATTTTGCTCTTGTTGCCCAGGCTGGAGTGCAATGCCATGATCTCGGTTCACTTCAACCTCCGCCTGTCAGGTTCAAGCAATTCTCCTGTCTCAGCCTCCTGAGTAGCTCAGACTACAGGCACCTGCCACTATGCCTGGCTAATTTTTGGTATTTTTAGTCGAGATGGGATTTCACTATTTTGGCCAGGACTATGTCGATCTCTTGACCTCATGATCCACCCACCTTGGCCTCCCGAAGTGCTGGGATTACAGGCGTGAGCCACCACACCTGGCCTCCACATTCTTTTTCTTTTTTCTTTTTGGGGTAGAGACAGGCTCTCACTCTGTTGTCCGCACTGGTCTCAAACTCCTGGGCTCAAGCAATGCTCCCACCTCAGCCTCCCTAAGTGCTAGAATTACAGATGTAAGCCACTGCACCTGGCCAGTTTTAGCATTCTCAAAGGAGACAAGAACATAATTCAAGAGCCAAGCCCAGGTCCCATCCATGGCTAAAAAATGTCTCTCTCCACACTGAACTGGGACCACAAATGAGCTATATCCCTAAACAGCATGAGTCCACCAAATCCCTACCCACAAATGTCTGTAGGAAAGGTGGCCATGAGGGGTGGGAGGAGAAACTTCCTTGGAAGAAAAAAATTACACAGAATGCAGCAGAGATAATAAATAAATTTATATATGAAAAAAATGGTTTTAAAACATGATGACAGTGTAAAAGATCTGATAAGCATTTAGTAAGCAGTCCAGAGAGAGAAAATGGATTAAGGAAGGAAGGAAGAAATTATCTGAAGAGATAAGTAGCAATTTACTAGACTGATTAAAAAAAAAAAAAAAAACTAATTCACAGGTTTAAACACCTAACAGGTCCTAAGCAAGATAAATGAAACCATATCAGAACACATAAAACCAAATAACTGACAACTACGAATTCCACCCAATGAAAATGTTCTTCATGAATCAGAGTAAAATAAATACATTTTCAGAAAAGAAAACTTGGAAGTATGACACTAACATATGCTCATTAAAGAAAATGAGCTCATTAAAGAAAACTGCCACAAAATCAAGAACAGTTAGTGACCCTTATCTGAAAACCTTTTGATTTACTGATTTACATAATACGAAAATTGGTAATTTAATAAGGTTGATTTCCTTACATTCAGCAGTGAAAGTCCTCATGTTTAATGTAGAGGAAACAAATGAAAGTAGGATGCACTTTAGGCAAAGTGAAGTCAGAACATTTTTGCTGCAAGAAAGAATGAACAGCAAATAAATGGTATCTATAAGAGTGAATCTAAAGGAGGAGTGGGATGTCTGACAGATAAAATAAGTAGCTTAGCTAAATTTTTCCCACAAAAGCAACAATAAAACTGGACAAAACTCACAATCCACTGGCAGAAGTTACTGACTTGAGGTATCTAAGTATAAAGTCACCAATCACTGGGTGACCACTAAGCTACGCAGACATAGGAGTAATCACTAGAAATGTGGATGGGCTTGGGAACAGCAGCAGTCACCCAAACAGAAACACTGGCTTGTGGAATGGCTTTGAAGGGTCATGTAGCTTCAGCCTTTCATCTGGCAAATGAAGAGAGCTGACAGGCAGAGTGGTAGAGAGGAAAGTGGTATAATGAAGCCACATTGTTGAATTACATGATCCCCTGTGTCTCAGCATCTTCAGTTATAAAATCTATCACCTCACAGGGTTTTTATGAAGCTTGAACTGAATAGTAATAAATAACTAATTATAGCAATAGCTACTATTTTAATACTTACCAATGACAGTTACTATATAAAGTATTAATAATAGATTAAAAAGGGCATAGAAGAATGTTTATTTTGGCACATACAAATATTTAAACTGCTGAATAAATTAGCCTTGTTAATCCTAACAATAAATCCTCATGAAGTAAATAAGACAATTTGTTAATACCAATAGTTAAGACAAAATACCATATTTCATCAAATCCAAGATACCACCAGTCATAAAATGCATCAAATTTTATATACAACTAAAAAGAATTGATTTTAGGCCGGGCGCGGTGGCTCAAGCCTGTAATCCCAGCACTTTGGGAGGCCGAGGCGGGTGGATCACGAGGTCAAGAGATCGAGACCATCCTGGTCAACATGGTGAAACTC